TTTTTTTTTTTTTTTTTTTTTTTGCATTGCCAATTTTTACTCTTAATATTTTCCTCTTTCTTGGCAGTCAGGCCCTGGAATCAGTGCCCACCCTCTCTGCCAGCTCCAGTCAAGCCTTCAAATCCTAGTAGGCCAAGCTCCAAAAGGATGTGAAATTAACTTATAAACGGCAATTATTTAAAACCTAATCCTTCCCCAAAGAACTCTAGAGCAATTTTTTCCTCTCTGCATTCAAGTTATTTCTGACAGTGGCTTTGCGTAAGCCTTTGCAAACTGTTCCTGGTAACAGCTCAAGCCATTTCCACAGAAGAACAGGAATGGCAGGAGAGGTCTTCCACCAGTCTCACAGTCACTTCCTTTGTCTGTGGATAGTTTGCCTTTATGGACAGCTGTTTATCAGGTGTGTGTCTTATTGCCACATATCGCGCATATATTTGAAGTTTTCATGTCAAGGGGTTCACAAAACTCTATTTTCTGCCATATTTCAACTAGCAGCATATTTTAACACTGCAATTTCTCAGGGGGTGGGTGGGGGCTATGCACTGTTTCCCCTGCCTAGCACAACCCCTTGGGAAGGAATGGCAGCTTGTGGTTTATCTAGAGGGCAGCATCCCTGCCCATGGCAGGGGATTGGAACTAGATATTTTAAGATCCCTTCCAACCTGTGCCTTTCTATGATTCTGAGATTTTTTTTTTTGGTGCACTCCTCCCACCGAAGAGCGAGGAGCAGCATTGGCTGAACCAGGTCCCCACCACAGAAAGTGGAAAATTGGTAAAATCTGGTTCCCTTCCATGAGCAATGCAACCAGTGCCTATTCACTCTGCACCCTTGCCTGTGTTCAGCTCAGGTGTGGCTCATGCACAGGGGAAACGGCACCGAGGCAGAGCCTCTCAAGTGACCTCGTGCTCCCAAACTTCCCAGGAACTTTTCTGGCCCCTGAGCTGTTCTGACTCCTCTTGGCACGTCCCAGCTGCTGCACGTCCAGAGAGAAAGGGGTGTGTGTGCTCTGTATTGCTGGGAAAACCCACACGGGTGTTTGAAGTCCAAGGGTCTGGTAACATGGAGAGCACCTCAAGATCCTCTGTCAGGGATATATCATTCTATCGGGTTTCATTACAACCCGTCCTGGGTGGTTGGAGAGTCAGATTTCCCGCTCCACAGCTTTTGTGGGTGCCTGACAGAGTTCAAGAAGCGTTTGGATTATACTCTCAGGAACATGGTGTGACTCTTGGGGATGATGGCCCTGTGCAGGGCTAAGAGCTGGACTCGATGAACCTTGTGGGGTCCTTTCCAACTCAGCATGTTCTGTGATTCTGTGATAATTTCTCGCTCCCACTTTGCACCCACCCCTGCACCCCCTGCCAGCTCCCAGCTTTCCACAAGGGGCTGGCCAGAAAAACAACGTGGCATTCTGGAGAACTCGGGATCAGCACTCAGCAGCTCCTGTCCACAGGAGCAGCCAGTTAAGCACAGTTCATGCATCTTTCCAGCAAGCTCAGCCAACAACAGTTGTTTGCAGGTGCTTTTTATTTGCCTTCTGGTTTTCTGTGGCTTTAGGGTGCACTTGGGTCCCATTTGCCAGTCAGTCTCTACAGCCAGGTGCTCTGGATACTTTATTGCTAATTCCTCCTCAGCTTCTCCTATTATCACATGAATCTGAGAGGCAGAGCTTTAACAAAAATATTGAATGTCATGAGATGTTATGAAATCACAAGAGCCAACACCACGGTGCTCTGAATGGGTTCACCAAGACATATTAATTTGATTAATAGGTGAGCTTAGCTGCTACTGTATCCTCTGTTTCCCTAATTCAGTGCTGAAAGGAGCTTGGTAGCCATCCTGAAAGCAAAAAACAAGCACACGTGAAATTTGGGGAAAGGAAATTTAAATGCAAACAGCTACTTGTGGTAAGGCCGTTGGGGGGTTGGGGGATTTTCTACCTTACAGATTAGAAAATCTGGCCAGATTTATCTGCTCTCCTCCTCAGGGGGATTGGTCTCAGCCAGAGGGGGACTGGTGGGGTTTCAGCACTGCCGCTCAAGGATCACCTGAACAACTGACAAGAGAACCCTAGGGAAGGGTGAGGATAACCCAAAAGTCCATGAAAAACTAAAAAGAGAAAAAAAGATAGATGGAAAACTAGGGAGGGACACACGAAAGGTCTTCAAGCAATTTAAAAAAAAAAAAAAGCAAAAAAATAAAAGCAATTAAAGGATGGGGATAAGGTGAGATCCCACACCTGAGCCGAGACCACCAGAAGGAAATGGGGCAGCAGCAATAAGGTGAGTTTCTCATCTTAAAAAAACAACCCTGTGTTTCTGTCATAACTTCACTTGCATCATTCTACTTTTTTTGCTCTTCTGAAGCAATGGGAAGTGTCCCTTTTTCCACAGGTCTCCAGTTGGAGCTGGAGGGTGCTGCCTGCATTATAAAGTGTCCCCAGGTGCTGTTGACACTCCTCATTCCTGACCAAAGGGCCATCCAAACCCCATCACTGAGCT